CGAGCTTTACGTCTGCTACTCTCCAACAACGTCGCGTGGTGGCCGAACGGATGGCAGCACCTAGGCAACGTGGAATGACAGTTCCTTTGGCATGCGCCACTGGCGACGAGAGGCTTAGCAACAAAATCGTAATCCTCTTGTGCACGCTCGACTATGCCAGCAGATGTCCTCAGTGTATACTCTGCTCTGTTGCGACGCTGGTTCTTAACATCATGCAATAGTCCTGGCGATATCCACTTGTCTCATTGAGCGGCGCTGACTGTGTATCGGATATGCTGACTCGTACACCCACTATTGCAGCGGCCAAGAAGAATATGAGCGTCTTCGGCCAATGTCGTACTCCAAGTCGCACGTTATCCTTATTGCATTCGCCATCGACACGCCCGACTCGCTCGATAACGTTACAGTCAAGGTGTGTGAAGCCTGATAGGTCCTGCGAGCTATTCATTGAACGGACCATAGTGGATAGAAGAGGTACGCTCGATTTGCGGACCGACAATTCCCGTCATTCTAGTAGGGTGCAAGTCCGATTTACGGCCACCTCCGGGTACGTATCGCATGACAATTGTGTTGCTGCGCGGTCTTCCTGGTGCTCGACAGATGCTGACCTATCACCGGCCTGCGCAGGATCACCAAATGAGTCGCAGTTTGTCTCGACGGAACAGGCCGAGCGCGTGGCGCAGGCGATTGGCGCACGGGCATACAAGGAGTGCTCGGCGTTGAAGATCGAGGGCGTCGACGACGTGTTCGAGGCAGCGACGCGCGCGAGCATGCTTATGCGTGAAGGCGTCCCGGCACATACCGGCCACCACCAGCATGGTCGGCTTGGTGGGAGCATGGGCCACAGGCGTGGCAGCAGCGCCAACGATGGTTGGGAAGACAAGGGGCGGTGTTGCGTGATCTGTTAGTCGCGTCCATCGCCCGTCGTTTCCCCTGAAGGGGCGCCGCCAGTGCAGGGAACGGATAGGGTCTCCGAGAACACTGCACCGCCGAGTGGGTGTTTCGTTGCCCTGTCTGTGTGCACATTGCGCTGATCGTGCACTTTCCGTGTGCGACTCGTCCCGGCCCGTCTTGTATCCTCCTCCATCATATTACTCGGACCATGTCCCCATGTCCTGTCTCTTGTCACCTACGCTCGCATGACGGCCCCCCTCACACTCCCTGTACGTCTCGCATGCCCCATGCATGCATACTCGTCCTCTCATTCATATGCCGTCTCTAACGCTCATCAACATCCTGCATCGGCCATACACTTCATACACATATCCACTCACACTGTCACTGAACCAACTATTTACGATCACTCCTGCCTCATGCGCACGTCGGACTCTGGCTTGGAACGGACTACATCTTCTGTCTTTTCTCGTCCTCGCACAGCACGCTCTCGTCCCTTGCGCGAAGCATGCAAACATCCCCTCACCTCCTCACTCACCCATCGCGTAGTCATCGGATATCTCCCTTACCCCATGTGATATCCCTTCTGCTACCTGACCCTCTACCTCTTCAACCCCTCTTTCAGTCTCGGAATACCTCCGTTCCGACCACCTCTCCATACCTACCATCCCCTCTCTCATCCTTTCCGTCGCAGGCATAGGTACCCGTGCCTATTTCCTCACGTAGTACCGCTCCCATACTGCTCCTCCCCTTGCTCCCTCCTTGCCGATCCATAGTTAGTCTCACATCGCTCCCTCTTGTTAACCCGATTTCGCTCACCCAGCTTTGCGATTATGTTCGCTCGCTCGTTTGCATGTGTGTGTGTGGCTCGCCGTGTGACGGACAGTCTACTTGTACATAGCTAGCTTTCCCCTCTCTTCCGCCTCGAGTTGCATGTGCTACGCGATCTTCGGAGGGTCTCCACTTCAGACGGAGATATCATACTTCAGCAAACTCATAGCCACGGTTGCTCAAGCCATTCAGATCTGAAGTTCACTTGCTCGCTGTTGCGCAGGCCCGAACGAAAGCGACTCGTCCCGGTCAACTTCGCCAACATTTCTGCGAATAACCAACTCTATTCTCACGAAGCGCTCAGGCATACAGTAAGAGCGGGGAGCCGAGAGCGTGTCCGTCTTTCTGGTCAACGAGATCTCTCCTGGAGTGTATAGCACACGAGTGCACGGTCAGAGACATCGCAGTTCACTGCCGACCTCCGCACCGCGAGATGATATTCCGAGCGCTCTGCATATCCTGCGAAAGCACAGGAGGAACCGGAGTACTCTCATACTCTAGGACGCAGATTCTACAGGTAATCGTATGAGCTCTTTGTCTTCACTACCATAGGCCGTGCTGGACCAGGTTCAAGATCTCAGTCCTCACTCTCCTGGCACCGTGAAGCACGCCCAGTAGCAACTGCCTTGGACCGATGCTCTCCGTCATTGCCGATTTCCGACACGCTCGGCCTCCACTTAAGACGGAAGCACCGTGCGCCTGTGGGATTCGACGTATTCGAAACCACGCGGAAGCTGGTTGACGACGTAACATGAGCATGTCGACACCGTCACCACCGTGCTCTTCTCGCTGAATGGAAAAGACACTGGCGTCTGGTTCGCATGACGGGAAGGTCTATATCCGCCCTCTATATCAATAGAAGAGCCGGTGCAATAGACACATCTGCACGACTTAACGGTGCTGACTAGCGGTAGATCGAAAGGAATCCGGAAAGCACGTCAAGAACCCCGTAGCATTAGCAGTGATATAACTGTGAATTCAGAGAACCCCCTCCAATCCGCTACTCTGACCGTTCGTAGCTCACCTCTCGGTGCGCAAGAGCTCGACGCCAACGACGCGCTCGATCCTTTTCAGTGACGGGCCCAGATCGGATCGCTCGACAACCCAGTACCTGTCTTCTTGACCGATCACCCTGAGACACTGGGCCCGTTTCGGCGAGTCCAAGAGCGAAGTCTTCCTGCTCTGACTCTTGGGAGTAGTCGGTGATCTTGAGGCCGCCAGGATTTCGACGACGGTCAAAAGCCCGAGTGTAAGGCTCGTCCTCTCCTTCTTCGTCCTCGACTTCATCTTGAAGCTCGCTTGCGTTGTCCTGCTCGTTATCATGATCCTTATATTCGTCATCACCATCGTCGTCGTGCTGCGTGTCGTCTTCAGCATCGTCGTCGTTCTCTTCCTCATCATCCTCTGTACTACCTACATCGTCGGTCTTCTTGTTATCGTCGTCATCGTGATCGCTGTCGTCTTTGATTCATCGTCGGATATGGCCTTCTGTTCCGAAAACACATCCGACTGGACCCGCTCCTGCTTCTCCTCGCCTTCGAAGGTTTCGAAGAGCCGGAGAACGAAGGAATTTGATCGTGCTCCTGTGGAGTAGAGACGATATCCCGGACTTCAACCCATATCTCATGAGCAACATGCTGATGCTAATACCATCACGCAAGGACGCTCTCAACTTACAATGGAAGCATCAGCCGTGTCTGACAAGCATAGGACCGACACGTCGAGCACCAAGTGCTTGATGTAGGCATCTTTGGATGGTAGCAGCTTGGGGGTCTTCTGAATATGGAACTGGTTGCGAGTGTACTATCCGGTATGAAGGACCAGAAGAGTTGGACGGGCCTCTGAGACGACGGTCCTGCGACGCGGGAGGCACTCCGCATCGGAATGAACGTACTGCTAGCGTGCTCGCGAGTTTCAGCGCGAACGTCCTCGACGTCGTTCACTCAGGGAGGGCCATCACTTCTAGATACTGGAGGTTCGGTAAAGCGTGGTGGAGACTTGCCAAGTTGAGCCCGTAAAACGCGCGCAGGGGGAGATCACGTACGTGCGCGTACTGAGCGGAAGAGGAACGGAACTCAACGTAGCACCCGCTGAGTTTCTGCAGGGTGGATTGGCTGCCATTGCGGAGCTCAACCCGCATTGAAGTCGATGAGAACGGAGGTCGTTTTGAGACTTTGTCAATCTGTTCCGGAGCTCACAGCGCTTCAGCCGGCACTATTCTCTGCATGATGGACCACAGCAACTGCTGGATGAGTCGTTGTCCGAGTTTCGGAAGCTCTCTGAAGCGTGCGTTCAGTCTGTGAAACTCAAGAAGAGTCACCGGATGAGGAAGTACGCATCGGCCCTTCTCCTTTGGCACTGCAGGACGCCGAAGGCGAGGGGCTTGGATTTACTAAGGATGCGCAGGTGAGAACAGACGGAAAGCAACTTGCCCTGCACTGGCAAACTTGCTGCAAATGGGCATATAGGGGGGGGGGGGGGGTTAATGTCTCTTACCTACTTGCATAACAGCAAGCTGGTCGCCACAGGCTCCGACTACACCTCCATCATCCCCCAGACGACAAGCACTTCGCGTCCGCCAGCGCCGACTCCAAGATCCTGATCTGGTCTGTTGAGACAGACCAGCTTCCCGCGGTCATGCACTGGCAGGGTCACAGCGACGACATCCACTCTGTGGCCTGGTCGTCAGTCGGCAAGCGCGTAGCGTCCAGTTCGGACGACATGACCGTGCGTCTTTGGATGGAGACACGTACGAGCAGTTCTTCGTCCTCGAGCGCCACTCCGCCATGGTCACACTACGTCAACTTCTCGCACAACAGCCGCTGGCTCGCATCCGGGTGCGCGTGGGACGTCACGGCCGGCTTGCCCCACAAGACCTTGCAAGGGCACCAGGGCATGCTCTGAAACCCTGACTTCGACCCAGAGGACCGGCGCGTTGTCACCGGCTCGGACGACACGGAGGCGCGCATCTGGAGTGTCGACACGGGTGAAATGTTGGTCACTATGTTCGGGCACTGAGGGCCAGTGTGGGCCGCAGCATTCTCACCGGACAGCGAACGCATGCTCCCCGCGTCGAACGACTCGGTGGTGAGGGTCTGAGACTCTTTCATGGGCAAGTCCCTGCTCGAACTCGAGGGCAGTACAGAGTTCAAGTTGGCCTCATATATCGTGCAATTCGGAGGCCACACGGCCAAGCTACAATAGAGGGAAACGAACGCTGCGTTGGACTTCCGGCCCGCCGCTTGAGGGCGTGGCTTGGAGGGAGGCAAAAAACATGACAGTGACGAGATTCGAACTCGCGCGGGAAACCCATCACGGTGAATGCCTCTCAAGACCTAAACGTGACGCCGTAACCACTTGGCTACACTGCCGTGGCAACTACTGTACTTGCTGTGTATCACTATGAGGTTGTGGACAAGAGATCTCTTGCATTTGGAAGGTGTTGCACTGTGTGAGCGACCACTTCGACCGTGACCGACAGCATTCCGCATACCGGCTTGTACTTATACAACAGCCTCTGGGAAATTGTACCGCCATCGAGGAATATCTCCCCCAATTGTCCTACAGACTCGTCATATCTTCAGTACGTAGGAAACAGTAGCACTAATACCCAAACACTCGAAGTCGACCAGTAAACTAACGTCGTCGGTCGCGACTGTCAGGCTCAGGCATCGGTTCACAGTGTCGTACACTATCCTCATTCTGACTCCTCTCGGCTAGTTGCGCAGTCCGTAATCCTAACCATGGAGTAACTGTTACAAGCTCCAAGTTGGCGATGTCTATGCAAACCGCGAGAGACTAGTACTCATGGATACAACCGTCATGCAGTTCTTCTAAGAAAGGCGAGACTCGGGCAGTGTCGTCAGTCGAAGATTAACCGCCCCAAGCACCTTTCTTGGACAGTGCTGGGCAGTTCAACGTCTAGAACACCAATCCTATGACTGGGTCTCAAGACTCGATCCCTTATTGCTAAGCTTCTCCGTCCCCGTCCCGGCGGGCCTACGGGCCACCAGCTACAGACGGTGGCGGGGTACTGACCTACTCGAATCTGTTATGGACATGGTGGCAGCTATACGGTATCGGCTTCTTGACCTTCGTCTCCAATGGTCCTCGTGGCGCCCTTGTCCATGTGGTTTGCCACTGCTTCACAGACTCCTCGTGGGTGACTTCCCTATGCCATTTTCCGTCAGCTCGCGCCACGTCTTCTCTGTGGTTCTCAACTTCGGCACGCATGATATGCAGGGCTCAAAGTGTGCACCTTATGGCTCGGAAATTCGATCCGCGTGCGCATAAGGCTGATTGACGCAGCGTCATGCTCAATGCCACCTCCATCTAGAGCATCAGCTGCCCATCCCGACGGCAATGTGTCGGTTGCAGAACGGATCATCAGGTGTACGGAGAACGTATGGTGAATAAATTTGACATACTCTGAGACGATGAGGTTCTTATTCACTCTATTTGTCGAATCGCAGCCTTAACAGTAACCCGACCTTCACAAGGTATATATACTGTGCGCGGCCGCATGCGCAGTCTTCCCCATCCTCAGTCACTATGGGCCTCAAAATACTACTCGCAGCGTCTCTGCTCATTTGCATTGTAACGGCTCAGCTTTCTGGCCCTGTCGGGCCGACGACCTCCCTTTCAGCCAAGCAGAACACCATTTGCAATGTTCTTGACTACGGAGGGACCATTGGCTCGGCCGATATTGGCCCCGCTATCTCTAACGCATTCACGGTGAATTTCACGGATGCGTCGTGGTGGCTTCGTCGTTCCTGCTCACTGTGATCATCGTCAGAACTGTGTGCTGAAGCATTCTGGGTCAACGCTCTATGTTCCCGCAGGTTGAGTCCACGCTAGGTCATTCGTCTTGGCATCCGAGGCTTATCCGCCGCGTGCGTCGTCAGGGAACTATAATATGCAGACTTGGGTGACCTTGAACGGAGGGACACAATGGGCCTTTCGTTTGGACGGACTGATCACTCGCGCAGGTATGTCTTCCTTGCAAATTGTGATCAGTGAGCCCTGAATTAGTTTCGTCCTTCGTTCTCCGAATCGCGGCACATACCAGCAACCACCGGAGGCAACATGATCGCCATTCAAAATGCGAACGACTTTGAATTCTACTCCGCGAATAGTGCCGGTGGTATTCAAGGCCTTGGATATCAATGCCGCAATGCCGGGTAAACCACGTTTGCGGAGTAACTCCGAGAACAGCCCTGGGCTCACGCTCTTCTATAGACCGCGGCTCATCCGCATGGTCACGTCTACTAATTGGTCTCTTCACGACCTCATCCTCGTCGATTGTACGTGTGGTTTGTCCCTGCTGTGTACGGCAGATTTGCTCACCGTCTTCCGCAGCGCCGGAGTTTCACCTCGTCATTCAGCAGGGTTCCAATGGCGAAGTGTACAACATGGCTATTCGCGGTATGTATCAATAGGTTCGAAGATGTCTTACTAAGGGTGAATCCACAGGTGCCAATCTCGGTGGCTCCGACGGCGTAGACGTGTGGGGTTCGAACTACTGGATCCACGACGTCGAGGTGACTAACCGCGACGAATGTGTAACTGTCAAGGTGGGCATGCCCCGCTCCATAAATGAAGATCCTGGATTTAGACTCTCTTCTCTTGACTGTGTCAGTCACCGTCGAACAACATCCTCGTCGAGCGCAGTACGTATAATCCTTCCACACTCAAAGGAAAAGCGAAACACTGAGTGATGTCTAGTTTGGTGCAACCAGTCCGGAGGTAGCGCGATTGGCAGCCTCTCCGACGGCACTGCGATCCAGGATGTCCTGTATCGGTGCGCCCAATTGCTCTGCAGTTGCTCCTCAACCTACCCTTAACCGCGCCATGTGGCTTACTAAGGGATATCTACACCAACGGCGGTAACCAAGCGTTCATGATCAAGAGTAACATGGGGTCTGGCTATGTGCGGAACGTGCTCTTCCAGAACTTCATTTCACGCGGTACCGCATATGGCCTTAACGTCAACCAATACTGGTCTTCCCAGACCCCCGGCAGTGGGGCTGGTGTGCAGCTTTCCAACATCACGTTCCAGGTATAGTTTCCCATATCGTCTCCTGTCATACGTTTCATGAATTGATGAGCTCCTCGACTGTTACGCCATAGGACTGGGACGGTAATGTAGCTGACGGCGTCCAGCGTCCGCCCATCCAATTCATCTGTGCGGATGGTGCTCCTTGCTTTGACATGGTTCTCAACAACGTCAACATGTGGTCGCAGACCAACGAGGCTGTTGTAAAGTGCGAAAGCGCGTACGGTACGGGTCTGTCGTGTCTCAGGGGCGGTTCGTCGTACACCAGCTATGCCGTCGTTACCCAGTCGGCGACCAAGCCGCCCGGATACACGACGCCTACGACTATGTCCGGCGATCTTGCTAGCGGCTTCGCCACGAACTCGCCGATTCCCACTCCGTGCGTGATCCAGAGCTTGAAAGGAGGATGGCAAGCCGCTGACGTGCATTGACATGCAGGACTATCCCTACGTCGTTCTTTCCAGGGTTGCCTCAGATCAGTCCTCTTGCCAAGGACATGTGAGGAAATGCGTTTCATTTTTGCTACATGCCCTAGTCGAGGCTAGTAAGGTAAGATGATATCGCAGAGCTCCCAAGGTGTGCGCTCTAGTTACACTTTATAGACTGTTCGCACGAGGCATGTGGGCATGGCGATGCTCGTGGGATAAGAACGAGGGATCAGGCAAGCGGGACTTCCACAATAAGCGCTGGCGTGCTCAAGTGATGCTCAGCGTCCAAGTGTTCCTGATACTTCCCTGCTACTATGTAGTACTTCTTGCAGCCGTGGTAGCCGGAAGAGTGGCCAGGTACAGGGCTGTGTGAAAGGCGCGTCTATCTTTGGGATCCCTGCAACCTAAAATCAGAGACTATAGGGTACCGGAATTATTGCAGAACAGTCGAAATTTGTCTGCCGTGGCCTGGGATGTGGCCACCTCCATGCGGACGACGGTGTCATGCTGCGTGGCATCTGCGAGCTGCCAGCAAAGCTGATGTGCCGCAGCAGACAACGGTGCAACCCATCTCGCTCGAGTCGGGGCTCATCATTTGGCATTATGGCGGATTGCATCATTGGTCGGTCCGTGCAGTCTTCCTGTCCACCAGTCGCACAAAGAGCAGGTGGAATACTGAACAGAACCCCGCGCCACGGCAGCAGATGCTCCGGATCCCGACCGCCTTATCTATCAAGAGGAGCATGCTTGGGCGGGAAAGGGGGCAACGAAGGCACCTGTCCTCTGAGCTCTCGCATTGGCCTGTCCCATGGTTATTCATTGTTCTGTCTCCTTGGTGTGACAATGTTCATAAAGAATTCCCTCATCGGGTTGGCCACCGTCGCTTCCGATAGGCTTGTAGGGTTGCTTACGGCTATCCGCCCCGAAACACTGATGTCACTCCAGGGACCATGCATTCTTGAGCTTGCCCCGCTCTTGACAACTCATATGAAGGGCATAGCTGCTGCTTGGTCGGCTGAGCTTGCTGGCTCCTCCCCTCTGGCATGCTCCTGCATCCGCTGACCTTCGGTCTGCTTGCCTGCCTTTCTCTGAGGCTCGTTCTGGCCCAGACTAGCGCGGCCCAGAGGTACGCTCCGACTCTGCAACCATGTCCGCAAGGCATATCTCTCGTTCGCGAGGTGGGATCCGCTTCGCAGAAGCAGACGCTTAGCCAGGACGAGCAGCACTACATGCAGGGAAGAACGTCCCTCGTACTCCCATCCGCATGGGCGGCCTACTACTCGAATGTCCTCAAAGGAACCTCCCTGCCGCTTCCTGCGTACGTTGAAGAGGCGCTGTCCCTCCAACAGCAGCATGCCTTGCCCAGGCTCGGAATCGCGACTAGTGGTGGCGGTCTCCGTGCTGCCCTATTTGGAGCGGGAGTGCTCAGCGTTCTCGATGGCCGCAATCAGACCTCATCCGACAGAGGTACGGGAGGACTATTGCAGGGCGCAAAATACCTGGCCGGGCTGTCAGGTGGCTCTTGGCTAGTATTGTCGCTCTCGCAAACCGATTTCCCTATGCTTCCTGATCTCGTGTTCGGGACGTCGCAGTCAGGAAGTGGTGACAGTCGCTTCGGCGGTTGGATCACGGAGATTGATCTGCTTCAGCCGGGAAACAATGCGAGCGCGACGGCGGCCTTCCTGAACACGCTGTTCCAAGAGGTCTCTTTGAAGTGGGCCGAGAGATTCCCGGTGACGGTCACGGATATCTGGGGGCGTTCCCTAGCGCGCCACTTCGTGAATGGCACGACTGCGGGCGATTTCTTTGACACCGATCTCCCGCATGGCGCAGGGATCACGCTGTCTTCGGTTGCTGAAGTGTAAGTATGATTCGCGCTCATTGGCGA